CAAGTTTGATTAGTGAGGGGGAGATCTGAATACCAACAGATGCTCATAGATATACAATCCCACAGTGGTGGGTTTCCAATTTTTTTACTACCGGTTCTGTGGGCGTGGCTTTGTGGGCATAGCAGGGGAAGGAAACTGCAAAATTCCCATTCCCTCCCCACCCCACTACCCTACTTTCCAGCTCCGTTCTTCTGTTCAGGGCAACAAAAGAAGATCCGCTAGGAGGCAGCCAGTCCGGAGGGCGCAGCCTCTTTGCCGATTACTACTCAAAATTTCCATTACCGGTTTTTCAGAACCTGTCAGAACTAACTGAATATCGCCTCTAAAACCCACCAATGCTTACCTAGAGAACCTAATCACATTTCCCACTTCTTCAAGTAGTTCCTAAGTTTCTTCTAGGCGTAACCTTTTTTAAAAGTGAGCTTTAAGAGCCAAGGATTCAGTTCCAATATTATTAAATTCTTAAAGTGATGGATAAATCCATCTTCAACACACTTTGACTTCCTAAAAAGATTGGTGCATTCTTTTCCCAGTCTTTAGTGCGTATGGAAGTTGGCATTTTAGTATGTGTTGTGCATTTTAAATCCAGTGCCCTGTGTTCAACATTTCCCCTGTAAAAATTTCCTAAGAATTCATCTGTCATAATTGCTAAGTTCGTCATTCGAGTAATATTGTAACCTTTTGTGGTGTTGTTCTGGTTTTGTGTTCTGCTTTTAGGGTCCTTTTACACAGGGTAATCTCAACCAAGGATATAATATGCCCAAACCAGTCTATCTGATACCATTCACAGCATTTGCTCTTCATTGCCTAGTCTGCTCTGTATGGGTGTGACTGAACATGATAGCAGTCCTGAACTTATCACCACAATTGAACCCAAAATTTCTATTTCTAAGCAAGCCCGTTACTGTTAGTGAGTTACCCCCATTTTACAGCCTTTTCTGCCACTGTTCTTAAACAAATCACCACAATTGTTAAATGAATCGTGCCACCATTAAGTGAATCTGGTTTCCTCGATTGAGTTTGCTTGTCAGAAGCAGCAGCAGCAGCAGCAACTACTACTACTACTACTACTACTACTACTACTACTACTACTACTACTACTACTACTTCTTCTTCTTCTTCTTCTTCTTCTTCTTCTTCTTCT